AACACGCATGCGCCTTCATCTATCCCATAATAAGTTGAGTCTAACTTAAAAGGCCCTGACATCCTGTGGAAACCTAGACGTAACGGTAAAATTGTGAAACTGCCAATAGTTGTAAGACATGCTACAGTTCTTTGTTTAGGTAAGCTATAAAAGACCCTCAGACAAAGACTGGGGGTTGACACCGCTTTGGGTTACTCAACCCCTTTGTCGACCGATTGCGCAATCAATAAACTTGTAATGGACTCAGCCTGAGTGTGACTCCCTCCTTGAGGTGTTTGGGAAAGGCCTCCAGGGGCACGAAACTAGCAATTTGTGCAACACAATCACCAGTGACTCCAAGACAACTTATTACTTTACTCCCTTATAGTGACCACAGACTATGCTGCATCTCTCCAAAACGAAGTGACCCTCTCTGGAGCCTCCTCCAAAACCAGTTTTCCTTGCAGTCCCAACAGCCAGACAGGGGAGTTGTACCATGATACCAAACAGAGCTGGGATGGCACAAAAAGGGGAAGCACCTTTTACACAGACTCAGGGCCCTTTGGCATTCATTTATCCATGAGAATCAACCCAAAACCTGACCCAGCCCTTCCCAGGCCCTGACCCCCAACATCCTGCCTGCCCCTCCAGTGCTGCCCAGCTCCTACTCCAGGGACAGTCACCCTGAGCTCATGCACCCCCATGTCCATGTCTTCCTGCTTACATGACACAAACTCTGAGCTCAGGCCCCATCACCCCCACTGTCCTGGGAAAGGGCTGAGAGTCCCCCCAGTGCCAGTTCTCAAGAGCCTGCAGAAAGCATCACAAACCCAGAGCCAGACAGGGCTCAGCTCCCTCCCCAGCTCTCATTGCCCCAGAGGCAGAACAAAACCCACAGGGGCTGGACGGTGGGGAGGGAAGGAGAGCACCTGCAAAGTGAGGCCCCAGCCTCAGGCCCAGGGGTGGCTCCTGTGGAACATTTCACTCCAGGGCTTCACATCTGAGACCCCAACCCAGGCCCTGAAGCAGGGAGCAGAGACAGCTCTCACTTCAACTTCCCTTCCCAGCAGCAGAGCAATAGTCTGCCAGGTGCAGCCGACAGCCTCCCTACTGCCACCTGAAGCAGCTGAGGCTGATGTAGCTGATTGCAATGGCAGCAGCTGATTAGGGCCCTCCTTAACCCTCCCAAGGCTGCTACCCTTTAGCTTGTCCTTCCCTACCCCAACCTGGCTCCTGATGCTGCCCCCAGTAGCTGGGCTTCCCTCCTGGATCTGGCCTCCGCTCCTGCAGCACCAGGACTGCCCTTCCCTGCCCTGCCCCCTTCTCCTCCTGCCCTGGTCCCACTGCTCATCTTGATAAGCAGATTCAGAGCAAGAGCTAGTGCTCTGCTTTGGCCTATGGCTGCTCCTGCTTGGACTAACTAAAAGGTACCCGAAACCCCACGGCCTCTCTCTTCTTGCCACGGACATGTTGGCAGCACCTGCAAACATCCTCCCAGCATGGGGACTGTGTCACAACTCCATGCTGAGGCAGTAGGAAAAATCCTGAGGATGAGTCATGGTCATATGCATGATTCCCGTCACCTTCTCAGGACCCATCAAGGGGCTCAGGGTCCTACATAGACTTTAGCACTTCCTTGTGAGGTGGAAGCTGGCACCATCCTACTGCCCATCACCATTAAGGACTAGACACCGCATCTCTGTCCACACACATGCGTTTCACAATGGCTGTGGGCACTACCATGCCCACCCCACATCCCAGGGCTCATCCCCTGGGTAAATTTTCCTCTGGGCGCAGAGACTGGCACCAGGCCTGGGCAAATACAGACTCCTAAGCCTGAAGGGGCTGGCAGCAGCTCGCACACTGCTCTGTACCCTCTGTGCAGACAAGGAGTCCTCTGTCTCTGCCGCTCTGACTCCCATGTTCCCCCGTCCCAACGCTGGTGCTAGGCTCCAGGGCGCTCAACCCACTGGGAAGAAATCCTCCTATTGAGCACAGCCCCACACTCACCATTGCATTTTTTACCCTCATTTGCATGTCATGTACAAACCAGAGACACAATCTGAGCAAAGGAGCCCTCACACCTGCAGCCAACAGAGCTAGCTC